AATAATGCAAGAAATTTTAGTATATTAGCAAGAATAAAAATGAAATTTAAAATGTTTCTGAGGAACTGAAGAGACAGCTGGTTGCTTAAGAGCTCTTACTGCTCTTGTGGAGGACTGGACTTCAGTTCCCAGCATGTCAGGCAGTGCAGAACTACCTGTAACTTCAGCTCCAATGGCTCCAATGCCCTCTTCTGGTCTTCATAGTTATCTGCACACACATGGTGTAGGTGTGTATACACACACACACACACACACACACACACACACACACACACACACACACGGGAGGGGCACAAAGATGAATATAAAAACAAAATTAAATCTTAAAAAAAAAAAAATGTTTCTAAGAGCCCAGTGGTGGTGGTGCACACCTTTAATCCCAGCATTCGGGAGGCAGAGGTAGGTGGATCTCTGTGAATTTGAGACCAGCCTGGTCTACAAGAGCGAGTTCCAAGACAGCTTCCAAACTTCCAAAGCCACAGAGAAACCCTGTCTCAAAAAACCAAAAAAAAAAAAAAAAAAAAAAAAAAAAAAAAGTTTCTAAGGATTGACAAATACCTTTGATATAATACAAAATAATGGCAAATTCAATTAAATAAACACTCTAGAAGAGAGAAAATCTGCATAAGTTCTAAGCTTTTCAAAAGTGGAAACTAGTTACTAGTTTAGGATAACAATGAACTACTTTTAAAAATATTACCATTGCAATGATAGTAAAATTAGTTTTAGTCTTAATTACATTGTACTGAAGTAATTTTAAATAACTTCTAGAAAAAGGATACAAGTTATTTCCCAGGATATTAAACAACTTTCAAGACAAAGGTCAGGGATCTTTGCAAATTCATAAGAAGGCAGGAGATGAACGAACAATTTAAACTACAACTACAGATTGCTTGCTGACCAAGTTCTAGAGATTATTCCAGGAGGTAGTGAGCCTTAGTAGCCAGCAATACTCATGCAGAACTACACAGGGTGAGTTCTCAGCCATTAACAGCAGCACTTTTATATTTATGGAGATCCCTTTTCTCTTTTAAATTAAATCATTTTTATTAAAATCTCAGCAGTATGAGAAACTTTGGGCTGCAGCACAGAGAATAAGAAAGGGAGTCTACTCCAGAGGCGCCTATCTTCAGAACCCCAAAGGTGCTGTGCTGGGAAAGGGACTTGTCTTTTTCCTCTTGAAGGCACTACCAGCTCGGCTCAGCAGATCAGGGCCACAAAGCACAGAATGCTAGGATAGAGATAAGGAAGTTGGTTGAATACCTGCTTCCTATGAGAGACCATTCAAATATGTGTTCATTTTCTGGAATCAGCATTATTGCTATGTTAAGATTGGCCTTGGGTTACTATTTTCCATCAAAGGGTACTCTAGAGTACCCTTTCCAGAGACTAGAAAGAGTTTTGTACAGAATAAAGGTGGTGCCAACATCATCACCACCACCATTATTTTGAAGGAATTGTAGATTCTGTGGGGAAAAGTCTGGTGTGTGTGTGTATAACAAATGCAAGGGTCAAGTCAAAAGATGAAGACAATAAAGAGAGCTGGGTGTGGTGGTGCAGGCATTTAATCCAAGTGTTCAGGGGGCAGAGGTAGGTGGATCTCTGAGTTCCAGGCCAGCCTGGGTTACACAGAGAAATCCTGTCTTGGGAAAAACAAAGACAAAACAAAACAAAACAAAACAACAACAAAAACAAATCAAACAAACAAAAAAAAAAAAAAAAAAAAAAAAAAAAAGAAGAAGAAGAAGAAAGAAAGAAAGACACCAAGAGGAGAGATCTTAATACTCAAAACTCAAAAGAAATTGGAGATGTATTTCATGCTACCCGAGTAGAGGCAAAGAAGTCTTACTGAATGCAATCTAATAGATAAAAGCAAGGCAGTGTTTGGACAGAAGTATGTCATATCTGCTAAAGATGATGGTACATCCACCCTAAGCTCCACTAGTGGAGGCATGGCGTTCATCCATTTGTCTTGTGGGGTAGGTCGTGCAGTGCCTGCTTGGTTGTGCTATAGCACCATGTTTAAGAGGCAAATTTTCCATGCAGTAGTAAATACGGCTGACTTTGTTATGAATGGAACTGCTAAAGTAGGTAGACGTTTTTTTCAGCCAGGTAAGAAACTACTAAAAAACAAAAACAAAAAACCGCCAGGCATATGAATGAATGCCATTAATCCCAGCACTTGGGGAGACAGAGGAAGGTGGATCTCTCCGAGTTCAAGGTCAGTCTGATCTATAGAGTGAGTTGCAGGATAGCCAGAGCTATATAGTGAGTCCCTGTCTGAAAACAAGACAAGACAACAACAACAACAGAAAGGAAGGAGGAAGGGAGGGAGGGAGGGAGGGAGGATTCTATGATGCATTCAATGATGGCAAAAAGCATACTCAGGAATGAGCTACAGATAGGCATGAGAGAACTTAAGTGTAAGTAACTCACCAAAATTCATACTTCTTTACAAGGAAGGACAGGCTAGCCTGCTTGGGACAGAGACCCACTTGTGGAAGTGTCTAAACTGAGGTGGTAAGTTCATGTCAGGGGCATAACTTAGAGGGGAAAGAAACCCAGAGCCCAGGGGACCCACTTCATTCAACATCCTGGGCCTAACTGCTTTCTTCCAACATCCAGGTATGAGGGCAACAATTGTGTTACCTCTGCACAACCAACAATCAGGACTAGAAGGGACAGGAGGACACCTGCTGAAGGAGCCATGCAGAATGCTGCAGACAGCTGTGGCTCATAGTACAGGGAAAGGGACACGGGGCTACTTGTCCAAACTTGAACTTGTATCCACTGACAAAAAGTGAAGGCTTCTATTATTTCTGTCTGCTGCATAGAAGGTAGACAGACACTTGACTGCTAAAATGCCAGCAGCATTGTGATTCGAATTTTGCATTTGTTCATGGACACTGGAATCTAGTGAGCACAGTTAGCAGACAGAAAAGTCCACCTTCATGTCAAACGGTGCTGGAAAAGCTCTTGTTCAGGTATTGTTACAGAACGCAACCTGGTGGCCGGGCATTCCTCTATCCGGACATGACCATCTCGGAAAATCAAGATGTCCCTCTTAGCCTTTACAGTATGAGAACTTATGTCTCTAATTACTGTGCCCAGGCCTTCATTCCTTAGTGTCATCTTATCCATAACATGTGACTGCCATGTGTTGTCAGGTTCTCCAACATGCAGAGGCCCCTCCTGAGTGCTAATTTTAAAAACTTGCCCAGCTTTCCAATATGCCTCTATATAGTCTGTTTTCAGGAACTATTTTTGTTCTTGCTTCACACCATGCCTGGCAGGATGAGTAGCTGTCTCCTGGTCCCCACTGCTAGAGTACTGGGTCTGCTTTCTCCACCTCCTGACTTCCAGCTTGACTCTCACAAAGCACTCTTTACACATACTCTTTCCAGCCATTATTCTTCCTTTACTCCAGAAAGGGGCTAAAAATACTCGGCAGTGCTGCCGAATCCTTATTCTGACACGCACACATGGCAATTTAAATAGTCACTGTTTTTAAAATTGTTTCTGCTGCTAAGCAGAAAGCAAGAAGACGAAGGAAAAAAGGAAAAGGCAATACTGCCCTTCGTGAATGGGAATCAGTCACAGAAGCACCTTTGGAAGGGAGAGGCTGCTGTGGGGGATGAGTCAAGATGAGACACACTAGGAGGACCTTCTCAATTACCTTGCAGAGCAGAGGGATCACAGTGCCAGACAGTTCCCACAGGACACGGAGCTCCTGGCCAGGTTGGTACAAGATTAAAACAATGATTATGATGATGTAAGAGTTTCATCTTACACATCCATGAACTACAACTGTTTACTAACACACATGAGTTGTGGGGATGGGTTCCAACCAATTATAAACTGTCCAAATCCATTCTCACATTGAGACAAAGCATATCAAACGACTTAGAACGGTTTAAAACACAAAAGGGAGAGAAACTACAAATGCTTCACAAACTGTTTGACCAGGCAGCATCCAGTATTTCATACAGGCCAAGAAAATCCAAAGTCAGTAGGTATCCAGGGTCATAATTGTCTAACACTACCTACTATCCATTTTTAGGGTGGCATGCATCTCTAAGAGAACACTCCTGCTATATTACCCAGGATGCAGGACCTCTGCAAGGGACAGGAAGGACAAAGTGGGTACTAGGGACCAGCTCACCAGGTCTCAATGCCTCAGACCAGAGCAGCTGCTATTAAAGAGCTGCGATGACACCCTGCAAGCTTCCTGCATTCTTCCTGTGCTATAGGGGCTATTGACTGAAGTCCTGAGAAAACATTTGAGGGAACACTCTGACATTGAACTCTATAGTCAGATCTCTGGAAAGGACAGCACATAGTTGAGATGGGGGTGGGGTGGCAAGGGAACTTTTCAAATGGCTCTGCTTCTTTGTCTATAACTGATTCTTTAACTGGCTTTGATCTGTTCAAGGCACGTGTGGGATGGCTGAGGTCTGCCAGAAAGAACATCTGAGAGTAGAACACTGTTTTTCATGGATAGCTAGTTCTTAGTGGAAGGCATGGGGACAGGCGGCCTGTGGAAAGAACATAACTATGGCCTGGCTCCAAGGAGCAGACCTAGAAGAGGGAGTCTTCCAGCCATCAGATAATCTGACACCTAGCAAGATAGTGGAGAGGATTTGAACCTTTTGGGAGAGGGGCGCCCTTTCCCATATGTGCACTGGGACAGGAGTTTGGGTGGAAATTAGAAAAGGCTAAATCGGTCCCTTAGAAGCGGATGCAGCGTCACCGGCACCGCAGAGGGCGGCAAACAGCCTTAGCTTCACATCCAAGTAAGAGCATCTCTTTTGGGGGACAGCAGGGAGCCCAGTCAATGCAGGATTGTGAGTACACAGGCTAGCATTTTGCCCCCCTCAGCTGGGTAGGCTCTGACCTAGGTCTGCAGAGAAAGGGACATGGAGCGCAGAGCAGAGGCAACCAAGGTCGGAAGAAAAGGGTTCACGAGAAGAACGCAGCGACGCGGCGGTCGTGGCCCTTACCTTGCTGACCACGTTCTGGACCAGGCCAGTGCGGATGCCATAGTCCCAAACGTGGCAGTCGCAATTTGAGTCGTTATTCCCCTTGCCCGGAGGGGACGGTAGGGGTGGCGTGTCGCTACTGTTGCTTCGGTTGCTCGCGGTGCCCCAGGCAGCAGTGGAGAAGTGGGTGGCTGGGGGGCTGGTCCAGTTGCCCATGTCGCCCCACCGACCGGTGACAGTGGCACCCGTCAGCTCAGTGCCTTTGCCGGCCCCGCGGCACCAGAAGTTGGGCTGGTCCAAGAGGAAGGAGTCCGAGAACTGGCTGAAGCCGATGAACAGCGCCGGGATCCAGGTGAGCACCACCAGGGTCTTCTGGTAGCCGCCGCCCAGGCCCCCGAGGAAAGGCAGCACCGAGCCATCGTAGTCCAGCAACAGGAGGCTCGGGGCGGCTGCCGCCGCGCAGCAGCTCGAGTGCGGGCCGCCGCTTGGGTGCAGCGCAGGCAGCGGCTGGATCTCCGCGCTGCCGCTGGAGCCCGCGCGTCCCCCGAGGGGCGCCGAGGCCGCTGCGTCCCCGGGCGGCAGGGAGCCGTTCTCCTCGGCCGGGGCCGACTGCCGTCCGGCACCGCTACCCGCCGCCTCGCGCCGCCGGTCTATCGCCATGGCCAGGGCCCGCGGCGCCCGCAGAGGCGCATAGAGCGCGGCGGAGCTCGGCGGGCGCCCGGGCACAGCGCACCGGGCCGGGCGCCCGCAGCTGCCGCCTCCGAGAAGGGCCCCGCGGCCGGAGAGAGAGCTCCGGGCCCGGCGAGTCAGGCCGCCCCCATGTCACCCGTGCACCCCCCGCGCCCTGGGCGCTGTGGCCCCGATCGGGCGCCCGGCAGATGCCGGTCGAGTCCTCAGCCGCTGCGGCTCATCCGCACCGCGGCCCGGGCGCCCGCCGAGCTCCGAAGCTCCCCGCTGCTGCGAGCCGGCTGGAGAAGAGGAGGAGCCGGCGCCGCGCCGGACCCGCGTCCTTGTCCTGCGGACGCCCGTGCGCGCTGTACTGGGGCGGCCGGCGGCTGCGGGCTGGGAGGTCCTCCACGGACTTGGGGCGCTCCCGGAAGCCGCGAGCTCGCAGCCAGCCTGCGGAGCCGGCCGCGCTCTGGGCTCACCGAGCCGGCCTCCGCCTCCCGCCCCGGCCCCGGCCCGCCCCCTCTCCCCCCGCCGAGGTGGAGGTAACCGCGGCACCTGCTGCGCCGCTCCTGCGCGCGAGCGCCCCCTCCAGCCGAGCCGCGCCGCCGCCGCCGCCCGGACAGACGCAGAGGCGGGGAGAGGGACACCCCGGCCGCCGCAGGATCTCCGGCGTCTTCTTGGCGCGGAGGGCGGGGGTCCCTATGGAGTAGGCGCTGGCGGGGAGCGAGGGAACAAGGTCATCTGCCAGTCTCGAGTCCTACTGACGCAAGTGACCCCACCCCCAGCACACCGGCTGTCCGTGACCTCTATTCGTATTCGAGGTGCCAGGCGGCTGACACCCCACTCCTGGTCCTGAGCCCGAGGGTTGCCTGCCTTCCAGAACAACCCTCTGCGCTTTGCCCAGACTCAAATAAGGCTGCTTTTAATGGCTGCAGTACAGAGGCAAGGAGGCATATTTGTCAATTTCAGGTTACCAGTCCCTCACAACGCTGGGTCGCAATGCTGGTCGACCCACTGACTGCAGCACCCACCCCAAATCGCCATTTCTTTTCAGTGCTCCAGAATGATTGTCAAATAAACACAATGCTGGAAGGTTATACCTTCAACGGGAGCCAGACATGAATGAGGGCGGCCTGCCCCACCCCCTCCCCAAGGTCTCGGATTCACAATTCTACCGCTGTGTGCACAGGCGCACACATCTACACCTCACAGGAGATCCAAATGCTCTTGGTGCTCTGGACTCCAAAGCCAGCCTTGCCCAGCCAGCACTATATAAATAACACCAGCCCTGCAGCAAACGGCCGCATTAGCATATTTTCTCCTGCGTGCTGGGCCTGACACCAGTGAGAAATACGCGGCTTTCATCCTAGCTTTACTACATTCTGGAGACATTTCATATCCTGAGAAGTTTATTAATGGAATTAATGGAAATCTTAAATGGAGCAATCTATCTCCAGTCGTTTTTAGCACGGGGAAAGAAGCACACATTGGCTTACTAAAAGCATACCCTTCGAGTACACGTATGGAATGCATTCTTTAAGCATCCCCATTATTTGCTCAGCTGCATGTTGTATAATTTAGTGGGAGACATTAAAAAAAATGCAGCTCAACATGTACTTACTGCTGAAATTCTGGCATGCAGAGAGAACTATTTCTGATGACTGCCAGAAGGCTGGACCTTGGGGGACCAGACTGGGAACTCTCCGGAGTTGCTTGGTAGGGGAGATTAGCTAACAATAGGCGGAAGAGACCAGCTTCAGAAGACACTAAAGGTCAGGGAAACCCAGTCTGGAAACTTAAGTCTATTTAATGGCATATTTGAATGAGAACGTCATTATGAGACCCATCATTTTTATTATAATCTAATAAAGTGTTATTTTAAAAGATCAGTCGGGAGTGACAGTGCACCCTGCCGATACATATGGTAATGCTCGCTCCCCCCCCAACCCAATTTTACTGTACTGTTTAGCTTTTCTTTCCCTCCTCCTCACTAGAAGAGCTAATGCTTGGGAAGTTCTGACCCGCCTCACCAGAACAGAGTCTATACTCAGTGAATGTTAGACATGTATTACTAGCTTTACCCATTACACACAACCTGCACTTCCTTATCTGAATTGAAATGTAACAGACCAGGCTTTCTCTCATTCCCCTCTAGTGCTGATTCTTTCTAAGGAAGCCTGCTTGATGTCTAGTTCTGCCTTCTTTACCCACCTGCTCACTAGGACCCTATTGGATGTTTTGCAACTTACTGCAAAATGCAACCATTGATCTTAATAATGGCTTGTCTCATTGAAATAATAATCATGGGGAACTTTGGAGGGGTTTGCTTTCAGATCCACAGTCATTCAAACCTCACAGCCAGGGCTGAGATGAAGTGAGAGACGCCTAACAAGGAGCTGGTTTTAGAGCCTAGTCATCTGACTTCAGAGCTTTCATCTCAACAATGCAAGGACAGAAGAGTTTATGAACATGTTTGTTTAAAAGGAGTGACAGATACTCTGACTCGTAATCATGTTGCTACATATGTATATATCAAAACATCCTGTACACATTAAATTTATACAATGAAATAAAATCTAGAACGTCACAAAAAGTCAGGCCTATAAAACAAAGTCTGTTTACCCTTTTAAGAAAAGTTGTTTACTAAGGGATGCTTTCAGGTGGATGCAGCCCTGGCCTTGAAGGACCTTCATTTTGAGCCTCTCTGTGAGGGTAGCAACAACCCTCACATGGTGCATTCTGAGGTTTTGCAGACAGGCTGAAAAGTGGCTAAAGCAGAACAGAACCAACACCAAATGTTTGGAATTCAGCAGCAACAGCAGTAGCCTCGACCCAGGCATTGTAATTAAGTTACTGATTAGATTAGGGGTTTCCCTAAATCCCTCTTGGATCAACATTTCTCCCAAATCCAGTCAAGAAGATTAAAATGTAACTAATTTAAAATAAACTGGCCTTCTATTTATTAAAACGCACCACAAATGACCTCTTGATGAACGCTAGAACAAGAAGAGTAAAGTAGAATTGACATTCCAGAGTGGAAGAAGGCCTCTAAGGTGAGCACTTAAAGGCCACACAGCTAGCCCAAAAGACACCTGCCAGCAACAGGCCTAACCCTAGTTTTCTTTGTGGCCTTTGCTATTACCTGCTGTTTGTCTTGCTTACTAACTGACTGATTTTGCTACCTTCCACCTCTAGAATGAAAGCCCCTTGTGGTTCCCTTGGTCACAGGTATTCCTGGGAGTGATAACTGTACCTGGCACATGTGAGATTCTCAGTTTGTACTTGTCTAATGACTGAGCGAACCCCACTGCAATCGTCGGATGATGCCATTTATTAAGATCTACAACGGGCTTCGCTTTGATTCTTAAGTCATTAAGCAAGCTTTTCATATTTGTTTAATCCCTCAAACATAGTGCTCAGCTGAACCAACACAAGAATTCAGATGAACTTGACAATTGCATGCCTTGTGAGCTATTGTGGTTAATGGATTAGTTCTTGATATGAAGTTGTCATTGGCTTGCAGATGAAGAGCAGCTCATAGACAACATTCAAGGTTTCCAAATACAATCACTGCCAGCATTTCAAAATGGAAGGACTGAGTGTGTCCCAACACAGCAGATGTAGGGATCTTTCCTTGTCCCATATTTGAGGGGCCATCCTCCCTGATGTAGCAGGTAAATGTTCTCCAGCTTGTCTTTATCCATGCCTGGTCCGCACACACTTCATCATCTGACCTCTGGAAGCAACTACATCTGGGTTCATGACCCTGCTTTATACGAGCATCCCGAGTGCACTATTGCCATAAAGAAGCTGAGTCATCCTTGCTTCCTTTGACATTCTGTTGAGTAATCTACCACTTTGCAATTCTCCCAAACCGAGAAAAATGAAAATATGATGCAACCTAGTTAGCAATATACTAGGATAGTTTTTCCCCTTGGAGATAGCAGGAAAACAAAAATGATTTTTGGCTCACCTCTAAAACTGAGTTGATTCCAAGGAACTGGGCAACAGAGATAACTGACTTGAATTAGAAACCACATCATACTAAATAGATTTCAGATTGTTTCCACTCATCTGTTCATTTTCTTTATATTTGAATTATAGGTGGTTAGATCACATACTGCATCATTCTTTTGTTTTATGGCAGCTTAATTTCTTTCCTTCAGATACTTGCTTGAAAGATAGGTTGCCTTGCTTTCCAACAATGTTCTCTTATTGTGATGTGAAGAAACTCCCTGCTCTAGCTCTGTATATAGTATTCAAACATTATTTTTTATCATCCTTTGGCTTTTGGAATGTCAACTCTTACTCTTTAACAAGGAATTTGACATTTACAAAACCTATCATAAATCAAAATGAAAAAGCTACTTTCACGCTCTGGGAGCAGAAGTAATAAAAATGTCACACAATGTCTCCTAAGGAAAGCTGCAGGTAATACCTGGAGAAGAAGTCTCCTGCTTGTCTACCACAAGCCAAATTCATCCTTCCTAACCACAAATCACAAAAAAGTAAAGAAGTCTTCCATGCAAAAAGCTGTTCCATTGCTAGTGGGATCAGCAGTGCCCAGTTGCTTTCAAATGCTTGGTTAAAACTTAATTTTAGACAGGGTGGGTGATGGTGGTGCACACCTTTAAATCCAGTACTCAGAAGGCAGTAGTAAGCAGATCTCTGTGAGTTTGAGGCAAGCCTGGTCCACAGAGTGAATCTCAGGATAGCTAAGGCTATACAGAGAAACCCTGTCTCAAAAAACAAACACACAAACAAAACAAAACTAAAAGCAAACAAACAAAAAAACTTAATTTCAAACTTTTTTATTGAGCTAAAAAATTCTCCTATCAAATGTTTGTAGAACTTAATGCTTTTTGTTGGTAAGAAATCTGTTGCTTTTGGGATAGAGTCTAGAGTTGCCAGCCAGATACAGAGGGAGCAGCGGATGAATGTGCCATGCTAATAAAGGTACCGCTACATGGAAGAGCATAAATAAGGAATGTGGGTTAACTTAAAATGTAAGAGCTAGTTAGTGATAAG